GAGAGAGAGAGAGAGAGAGAGAGAGAGAGAGAGAGAGAGAGAGAGAGAGAGGGAGAGAGATTGAACATTTTCAAAAGCTAACTCGAACAGTGGTTAAGAGAGTTAACGAGGTCATCTGTGATGACAAAGCACGCTTACCATCAATGGTAAATTGATGTCAGGATGGACAAAGCCCACATTCCTAGGTCAGGATTATTTGTAGGGGACATTAAAACACTGTCTCTTTGTCTGACTTTTCAGAATAGGCAGGGAACGCAACAGGAGAATGTTGTTGGAAGGAACAAAAGCGCTAACCAGATTTAAGGGAGGGGTGGGGGCAGTAGCAGGGTTAGCCTGAGCTGGAGAGTCTCTGGCTCTAGCTTGAGTGGATTCCCTCCTAGGGTCAGAGTAATAGAATTTTACAGCAGCTGCATAAGAACGGCTTCTGAATTTGTGATGCTTTTAAGTACGGCTTAAAATTACAATACCCAAAGCTGGCGCAGTCGTAATCAAACTGCTATGCCCGTAAGCTCCGTAAGCTATCTCTCTCAAAGGTAATTTGGCCATGCAGATTAGAAGTTAGAAAAATATTTGTTCTTTTTCACTTTGTCCTGATTGTCCTTACTGAAGGAAAAGGAGGGAAATGGTTGCTTTTATCACCCATGTTGCAGGGGAACCCTTCCCCTGAAATCAGCTGTAGTAACTTAAAGAATATTTAAGAAGGTCTGTGTAGCAACTTGTCCCAGTTGCTTGGTACATAACAAAATTATCTTAAAACATAGCAGCTTGAAACAATCATTTTGCTTTGCTCACAGTTTTTTGTTTGTTTGTTTGTTTGTTTTGTTTTTTTAAAGCAAGAACTCAGAAAGAGTTCAAGGGTACTGGCTGGTTTTGTATGTCAACTTGACACAAGCTGGAGTTATCACAGAGGAAGGAGCCTCCCTTGAGGAAATGCCTCCAGGAGATCCAGCTGTAAGGCCTTTTCTCAGTTAGTGATCAAGGGTGGGAGGGCCCATTGTGGGTGGTACCATCCCTGGGCTGGTAGTCTTGGTTCTATAAGAAAACAAGCTGAGCAAGCCAGGGGAAGCAAGCCAGGAAGTAACATTCCTCCACGGCCTCTGCATCAGCTCTTGTCTCCAAGTTCCTACCTTGTGTGAGTTCCAGTTCTGACTTCCTTTGGTGATGAACAGCAATGTGGAAGTGTAAGCTGAATAAACCCTTTCCTCCTCAACTTGCTTCTTGGTCATGATGTTTGTGTAGGAGTGGAAACCATGACTGAGACACCAAGTTTCTGCTTGAAGTCAGTCTTGAACCATGCTTAGATTGTCGCATGGCTAAGGTCATCAGTGGCTTGACCTGGTTCCCTGTCCGAAGTGGCTCACATGTTTCAGCTGTTAACTGCAGTCTTAGCTAAGATGTGGGTCAGAGCCCGTACAGTCAGCATCTCTGATGTGGCAGCTTCAGGGTGCTCACTTATCCAGAATTTCTGATTTCACTTATCCAGGTTTCTCCCAGAACTGCTGCTGCAAGGACATCATGGCTGTTTGTGATCTCATCTAGAAAGTTCTGTCACATTATGTTGTTCTAGTCACCGGTGTGTCACGAAGCCTGGCCAAAACTCAAGAAGAGGGCAAACTTCACTGGCCAGTGGGAAGACTGGCAAGGGTACACAAGGCCTTTTCAATCGTTGCTAAGGTGGGATTAGAGAGCAGGCTGAACCCGGGAAGATTATGTCTAGATAGTAACCCAGTATTTGCATCCAGAGGCTCACAGCCTCCTGAAACTTCAGCTCTAGGAGAATTAATACCCTCTTCTGATCTCTGCAGGGTACCTGCATGCATGTGCATGTGCCATTTGTGTGTGTGTGTGTGTGTGTGTGTGTTTGAGCACGCATGTGCACTGGAAGTCAGAGAACAAAACTCAAAGTTCTTTCCTTGGACTATGACGAGTCCTGAGGACCAAATTCAGGTCACCAGACTTGGTGGCAAGCCTCTCTCCCCACTGAGCCATCTCACTGGCCTCGCCTTTCTCCTTTTATTGTTGGCATCTTCCACACACTGCCTGGGAATTTCCTTAAGGAGCTCACAGAGTTCATTTGGTACATTTTCTACTTCCCACGCTACAGGTGATACTTTAGTTGAACTCCCCCCCCCCCACTATTTAACAAAAGTCTCCTTTGCCTACAACTCTTGTGACGTTTCTCTGGCTTTCCCAGATCCCCTCCCTGACTACCACCCCAACTGCTCTCAGATGTCAGCTCTTTCAGCCTTTGTCTGCAGGCTGATCTCAAAGACGCTGCCATGTGCTTTACATTTTTACTGTAGCAATCCCTCATTTGCAGACACCAAAATTTACTTTGGTTATTATCGCTGGCTGTGTGAAAAAAAAAATCATCTCCAAATGTAAGCATCTTTAAACGACCATTTTATTTTGCTGGCAATTTTGAGCTTCAGAAATTTGCAGAGGGCTCAGCTGAGCCTGTCTCCGTTGAGGTCATTTATGCAGTGGGAGCAAGATGTCAGCTGGGACTGCAAATATCAGCTGAGCTGATGGGACTGGCAACAACGGGAGATGGCTCACTCCTACAGTCAGGATTTGATGCTGGCTGTCAGCGCGAGCCTGGCTGGACTGCCCATCTCTCTGTCGGTATGCAGACTCTGTGGCTAGGCAGTCTCAGAGCAACTGGCCTTCTTCCACAATGCTAGTCTCCCCTGGAACTAACATCCCAAAAGATCAGACTGAAACTTGGTGACATTTTCTGGCCCACTTTTGAAAATTGAATGGCATCTCTCCGCTGTGTGGTATTAGTTACAGAATGGTCACAAAGTCATCCTAGCTTCATGGGTAAGGGGCATAAATATCATCTCTCAAGAATTCATACAAGCAAGGTTAAGGAACAGAAGCAGAACGGAGTCTTCTGTATCTTATGTTGAAATGATACATATGGATAGGAGAACGGGGAACAAGGAATGGAAGTGGGGGTGGAGAGAGAGGGAAAAGAGAGAGAGAGAAGAAAAAAGAAATTATTCTGTTGTGGATAATTTTCTCTGCTTGTTTTATAATTTAAAAAAGAAAAAAGAAAAAGAAAGGCTGAAGAAAGTGCATGCCTTAGGGATTCTATATTTTTTGATTTATCACTCAGGCTTCATTTTCTGTGTTATCTTTAGTAACACAGAATTTGAATCCTTTCAAGCTAGCTTGGGGGACTCAGCTTTTGGAGTGCCACAAAGCACTGAGAATTCACCTGTTGGGACATGGAGGTAGCCCCTATCCCTAACGGGAATGGATTCCCCTTGGGACTGAAGGCTATGACACAACACTTGAAAGGACTATCTCCTTCAGGGTCAGGAAGAAGTCCAAAGGCAGGTTCTATTTACCTGCAGGATCAGGACCTCCAAAGCCTCACCACACTCTGCTGCCTTCCAGTCCTGCTTGCTCTATGAAACAATTAACAGGAGAAATAGGTCAAACAATAAAACTGGACAGGGGGCCGACCTGTCTGAACAGAATGTGCTTGCATTCAGCCCCTGAGGCAACAAGGAGTCAAAGTCAGCTATGTGTGTCATTATATATGCCAACAGTCACCTACTTTGCTCTCCATACTGTGACATCCAGAGTGTTCTATTGACCTGTTTTTGCTCATATAACAAGCCTTGGATAGCAACACAGAACAGAAGCCTATCATGGCTTGCACTGTGGGCCCCATGTTTACATGTTGGAACCCTCAACCTAATATGACTTATTTAAAGATAATTCATTTTCAGAGGTTATTAAGGTTAAGTGTGCTTGTATGTCTTGGACCATAATCTTATAGTCCTGGTATCACTATAAGATGAGAAAGACAACAGACCCTTATACCAGCTGTCCTTCTTGTAGGACCCAAGAGTGCAACAGCTGCAATCAGTAGCCTGTTCAACAATAGACCACCCTGTTCCTTGTGCAGGTTGTCCCAACCCACCTTGGAGACAGCCCCTCCCAGTGGATGCTCACATACCTGATCTCATGCTGTTCCTAATCGAAGCTCTGCCTGATATGCAGGGTGCTGGGATGCCTCTGGGAAGCCTGAGAGCACGATGACTTCTGTTTCCACCAACACACAACTAACCACAGAAAGCCATAGGAGCAGAAGCATGTGGCTGATGCTCCACAACGGGCCTTGAAGTGGGGTTTTACCAAGGATGCCTACAAAGCCCGGCTGATTGATTACAGGGGCGTAGTAGTACACATTTGTAACGTCAGCACTTGGGAGACAGAAGAACAGGTGGATAGTGACTTCTGAGTCAGCCTGGAATGGATGATTAGATTCTGTCTCAAAACAGGCAAGCAAACAAAGGACAGGGGTCTGAGGAATGGATCTGGGTTGTCTGTGTTTATAAGGCCATACTGGCTCTAAGAATGATGCCCTGGAAAGGGCCGGCTTTGAACTCCCAGGGGATGGGAACTTCCCATCCTAACTCCCACAAATAACTCCTACTGCTTATATAAACAATTATAAAAAAGAGAGTCAAAATATCTGTCTGTCAGTCTTTCTCAGGCACACATCCAGGCCATGTAAGGTCACTAGAAGGAAGCCCTCTACAGGCTGAGGAGAAAGGCCTCAGAAGAAATCAACTTTGCTGACATCTTATTTGGATTTCCATCTGCCATGGCTGTGACAAAATAAATCCCCTGGCTTCATCTATCCAGTCTGTGTGTTTTGTCATGGCAGCCCAAGCAGACTCCTACATAGCCCTCCAAGCCACTCTGAGGTTCCTTTGATATGCCCTCAGCAGCTACTGAGCAATTCTCTGCTTTCTAGCACCAGATGTTATATGACATTTAATTCTTTCTTGGCCATGGTAGGCAGACCAATGGATTGTCTTTGAAAAGGTAAACCTCCAAACCCATGAATATGTTGACAGTATTCAGTCCGTATAGCACTGCCTTCCATGAGTAGCAAGATGAAAGTTTTTGAAAAGACACTTTTGTATTCTTGCCCATTGAAAGAAGCATTGAAAAGACTCGTAATTGAAATTCACAGAAATGAAGATTTGTTTCTCGGGTGAGAATGGTTTGCTTCTCTCTGTCTCTGCACAGCAGAGATAAGTAGGAATGGTCCAGGGTTGCCATGGGTGGGTTTAAAGTGGATGGTTGAGGAATCCCTGGATGTCTGTAGTGAGGCATATGCTGGTAGACAAGGGAACAATGATGCTCACGTGTTCTCTGATCTCAAAGGATCTGTCACAGGAATAGCTTCTTACCAAGAAGAAGGGCGAAAGAGATTACTTAGAACATGCAGAGGATTTTTTTTTTTTGTGGTGCTGGCAAGTAAATCAGAGGACTGGTTTATTGACTCAACTGTTGGTTAGATTTGTGTTTTAATTAATTTTTACATGGATACATAAAACGGAGTTCTTTACAAATTTGTGTGTGCCATCCTAGGGAGAGGCCATGCTGATGATCTCTTTATTATTCCAGGTTAATATATATGTGCCACCAAAGGAATAGAATGGCTGGATTTAAACGGAGAAAAGCAAAATGACTCCGAAAGGATAAATCTGACTTAACAAGGTCATCAGGGAAAATAATTAAGTGAAAGAAATGAAATCTAACAGAAAAAAAAAGGCAGCAGGGAAGTTGGAAGTCTTGAGAAACACACTGAGTGATCCAAGACCATCACATCTGGGCTTGCTGACCTTCCGTACCACAGGTAAGCGATGTTAGCAGAAGCCGGCAATTGAAGAACTTGGACACATTCGTGTTGGGCCTGAAGCTTGACACTGTCCACCTAGACACTGCAGAGAAGACAATGAAGAAGATGACTGGGAAAGTCAAAAGCATCGCTCTAAGGGATCCTTCTGCAGGCTTCCTGCTCTCCAACTTGCTTGTGTGATGGTTGCTCTTGGTTGTCAACTAGCCTTGGATTTAGAGATGTGAGTGTTTGTGGGATTAATGTGTGATGGAATGAGAATCTCCTCCAACCATAGGCTCATCTATTTGAATACATGGTCCCCAGTTGGAGAAACTGGGGACTGGATTTGAGGTTTATGCCATTCCCCCCTCCTCTCTCTCTCTCTCTCTCTCTCTCTCTCTCTCTCTCTCTCTCTCTCTCTCTCTTTCTCCAGCCCTCTGTGGATCAAAATGTAAGTTCCCAGCTACTGTTCCAGTGGCATACCTGCTTGCTGCCAATCCCCTTGACATAATAGTCATGGACTCTAACCCTCTGAAACTGTTCTAGAAAATTCTTACTTCTGTAAGCTGCTTTGATCATGGCGTCTTATCACAGCAATAGAAAAGGAGCTAAGATAACACGTAAGACTGAGCATGGGGAGAAACCCGACCTGAGCGGTGGGGTGAGGGGCGCGGCGGGAGGCATCATCCAATGGGCTGGAGGAAGAAAAAGGACATGTTACACAAATGTACAAGCCCCAATTCCTTCTGGGCATACCTACAACAGCTTTGGATTCCAGCTCCTTTGGGCTTTCAATATGGATTCAGTGCCAGGACCTCTCCAGGGAGTTTCTAAGAGTTTCAGCACTGGATTAGAACTGCTAACGCACAGGACTTCATAAGTGAGCATCTACAGTGATCTCTGTGTCTCCAGCACACACACAGCCACTGCTGGTCTATCAATCATCCTGTCATGTAAACAAGTCCAACAAATCCCCTTCCCTTTCATCGTATACATATGTATTTGTACTGGTCTGTTTTTCTAAAGAATTCTGTCTAATACAGCAGAGAGCCCCCAAGGCCCTCCAAGCTTAGCTTTGTGCTTAACTCACAAGCTCCACACGCCTTTTGCTCTTTTTCAATGTATTCGTTCATGATTGAGGTTTCCCAGAACCTTCCAGAATCCCTGAGAAAAGTACTTTGTGTAATGATTAACAGCTTGGGGATTTTTCTAGTTGTCTAGCCACAAGACTTTGGAACTTTCAAGCTAGGTGCACTGAGTTAAGCTATGGCCTAGCTATTATCTAGATCTCAATGGGGCAAACCACATAACCGTGTGGTAAGTGGGGCTCAGGGATCATCTACACTGTACCTGCATAATCCCAGGTCTGGGTCTCACTGAATTGATGAATGGGGAAGACTGACATGCCTATGGTTTTGTATTAAGTAGTTATAAGGAGACCAGCCCTCCTTTCTTGGAGGTCAAACAGATTGTAGGAGTTAATCCATAACAGAAGGCCACAGCTTACAGACAGAAAGGTGAGCAGGTATATATGACATAACCTGAGTCTTTGAGAGACGGCAGGTACAGGATAGAAATACCTGGGGGACACTGAATGTCCTAAGGAAGGGTTGGGGATGGAACTTGATGGAACACAGATCCAAGGATCACTATGTGAAGGCTAAGAGCCCATCCAAAATGGTGTAGCTGACACTGGTGCTGAAGTTGAGTCCCTCTGCTGATGACATGGGAAATTTCTACAGTCCTTTTACAAAGGAGAAAAGCAGAAAGTGGTTGTCTATCACTTTCCCAGCCCACTATGGATCGCTTTCTATCAAATGTGAGAACACTCTCTTTGCAACCAATCTTTCTGAATTTCGAGTCTTGCATCTGAGGATTAGTCAAGGCAACAGAGAGGATCGTTCTGAATGACCTACTATTCGAGGAATTAACTTTTTAGATTCTAGACCCTGGGAAAATCTGTGGCATGCCCAAGGGGATAAAGAGCTGGTGAGAGGAAGGCAGGCTTATGTTATGGTAAATATGAGTATTTACTAACCAGTAGAGAAATACACCAATGTCTCCCCAAGCAGAGTACCTGGGCACTGGTACATACTGGTCTTCCCTGTGTGGGGGTGTGGTTCTGATGCTTTGATCTAGAATCAATGTTTACTGATGCTGAAGGTCCTTAATCAATTTTTGATCTCTCAATAAAGATGCCAGTGACCATGGCTGTTGGAAAGAGGAGGGACTTTAGGTCTCCTCAGGCTAGGAGAGACTCAAGATACTTGTGGGGAGAGAGACGGAATTGACTCAGAGCTAAAAGTGAAATCTTCCAAACTATAACTGGAAAGGAGAAGGGTTCCAAAAGCATCTTGGGCAGCAAGACTAATGAGTTTCAGAGAAGCTAACTGGGCAACTCAGTAGAGGGCAGATTTAGAAGTGTTGACCTAGGGGTGAAGGTAAGGGCATACGTAGAAGCCTTAGAAGAGCCTAGCATCAGAGTCAATAAGCCAGTTTTAAAAAGAGCTCATGTGTGTATGTCTTTTATCCGTGGATCTGAGATAGCTCCTGGGCAGGTACATGCGTGCAATCAGCTGGAACACAAAGTAGTGTAGACAAAACTACATGCTACATCCCTGAACATGAAGTCTGCACAGGTGGCCTCCTCTTGTCACTCCTGACAGGATTTAAAAGGTATTCTGTCACTCTGGAACCCCAGAACTTTAGCTAGGATGAGGATAGAAGGGTAACATGCTTTAACTCAGATATCTCCATGTCTCCACGCTGGGACAGCTCAGCCCACATGCCTCCTGCATGAACAGAGAAGCTAAGAGAAGAGACCCCACACAGCCTGTCCTTCTCCGTGCAGCCATAAATGAGGAAGTCTACATACCCTGCCTCCCATTTTAACTCCAAGATCTGCCTTACCTGAAAAGAAAAGATTAACTTATTTTAACTACAGCCCTCTTCTTCTGGGCCAGTCTGAATGTGAGTTGACTTGTAGCTGGCAAAATGAGACTATTTTCATAACCTCTGCCCCCCCTTCACAATTTCCACAAACTCTTGCTCATCTACTTGATGGGATTTACAATCTTCTTGTAGTCTTTAATTTTAATGAAGTCTGTGGGACCCAAAACAGGGCTATGGATGACAAATTCCGATGAGCTGGGACATTTTGGTGAAAGTCTGCTTGTAACCAAATGAGAAACACAAAGACCCAGGGACCACAAAACTGAACCATCTTTACTCCAGAAAGATGAAGCTGGATTTTCCCAAAGAGTTGCTAAGTTGTAAAGATTAATGTTATGTGTTCAGTTGGCTAGTCCATGGTGCTCAAATGTTTGGCCAAACATTACTCTGAGTGATGCTGAGAAAGAGGGGATTGGGGGAGGGAGACAGAGAGAGGGGGAGAGAGGGAGATGATAGATAGATAGATGATAGATAGATAGATGATAGATAGATAGATAGATAGATAGATAGATAGATAGATAGATAGATGTGAGAGAG